CATGGTTTTGCTAGTGGTTCCACTCACAATCGTATGCCAGTTAATTTATCTCTATTTAGTAGATGTCGTGATCTTCCAGTCTCTGCGTCATGTTACCAATCAGCTACTTCTTCATCGGATCGCAGGGTCTTGGCAGGAACAATAATGTGAGTGATTGTTCTATTTATTCGTTACCTTAGCAATTATTAGATTACTCCAAGCGTGGTGTTTTTAGGATATCATGCAGGGAGTTTATAAGGCGCTGGTAGTATGTGCTTCAATCTGTTGTTATCTCATGTTTGGTGGACGTTGTGTTGACTTTAGTATCGCCATCGGTGGGTTTTTCATAGGTTCTGATCCTGATGCGTTCATATTTTCGATTTCCTCAAAAAATGTTGTGATACCCAGAGATTTGTCATTTTACAAATGGAAATGATTTTGGCAGATGTCGGTGTGCTCCTGTTGAATGGTGGTAAGTACCCTCGCATGAGTGACCTACTTGACGCTCTGCGAGGAGACGTCACCACCTCTTTAGGAGCTCTCATCAATAATGAAGTGGTTGGTAATGGGTATTCTACAGGTTTGGAGTCTAAACTTGTCTTATTTCTAGGAAAGCCCTGACTCCAAACGTCTCAAGAAGAAGGACATCATTCGCCGCCGACGGATAAGGAGGGCCATGCGCCAGTTCAAGGAATAGGTTAAAAATAACAAATAAAGTCAAAGGTTTGAGAATTCATTACGAAGGATATCATTCCACTTATATTGATTGAAACACTAACCTGCTCAACGTTCGTCGAAGACTTAGCCTATGTCTCCAAAAACGGTATTCCGAGTTGGTCAGCATACTCCTGTAATGGACAAATTTTCAATGGCGAAGGCGGCCAATCCAACAAAAAGCGATATCAGACATCATAAATAAATATTTAGCTTGCTTTGATTGTACTAATGGTCAAGAAACAAATAAGGAAAACCAAAAAACAAACACACAACATTCAAGAAACTTATGCACTACAAAATGTGCAAAAAATTGGGCGACGAGCTGTAGTGACCCCCTCGAAAAATTTTCCAAGACCTGTGGCTCACTTGCTAATTGTCTAAATGTAATTAGCTAGTTTTAACTTAATTAGTTTTTTGACTGCTGCACTCAATTATTCTTTAGAATTCGCAGTAAAGGAACAAGAAGAAGAACAAGTTCCGAGAACCCCTGGGGCCGTAAGGTATGCTTCCCCGAAGGGTTCGGGGATGAAAATTCCTTCAACATGCACTCAAAAAGAAGAAACGGTACCGATCAAAGCCGAAAATTTAGATAAAGGGCTTAAATTTGATATATGTGTACAGGTTAAGAGTAAGACATGCACTGAAAATAAAGAAACAGTATCGTTCAAAACAAAAAATTTAAAGGGACATTCGTCCCCTCTAACATTCGGGGAGGCATACCTTACGGCCCCTGAAAGCTTCGAAAGCGTTACAAGCAGACAATTTTCAACAACCTACATAAGCATCACATTCACGTTGCAGCCTTATCAAAAAATAATCGATTCAGAATATCCGCGAAAAATTTCGACGACGTCATACTTTCAACTTTACAAAAATTTCTGAGTACCTACCTTAGCAGCCTGAGTTTCGACAGCTCTCTTAGCCAAAAACAAAAAAACAACACCACTCCATAGAACAAATGCCATAAAAATATCTGAAGTTATAAATATTTTATTCTTACCACGAATGCCGTCTCCTCCGCCCTTGCGTACCTGAAATCTCAATCAAACATATCGATCTTGAGTACAAGACGATCCCTCAAGATCGCACGAGCCGTCCGGTGAAGCGGACCTAAAAATAAAAAGAAAATAAAAGTTAAAGTTGATGGGCCAGGGCCAAAAGGCTTAATGTGGACCGCAGCAAATCTGTCGCTCCAATCGACAAAGTCTATTGTTGCCGCGCCCATCGAAAAAGTGCCGCATTACGGCGCCGCGCAAGTAACCGCGCGCGACGGCGCCACTCCCGGACGATTCTGTTGCACGCTCCCCCCAAGATGAGGCGTCCATAACATTATTTTGCAGGATTTTTTTTGATTTATTTTGCAGGATTTTTTTTTGATTAATTAATTGAATTAATTTGCTCTGTTTTAGGGGGTCGTGCCAGGATCTCGATTTCGGGGGGGGGTCGTACTTCTGCGACCACGTACTCGACACGATTTTCACCCTGCCCCCGACCCCACTAATTGGCTACATTCCCTCTGGCCCACGAATTTATTGTTGACGCAACGCCGCGCGCGGCGGCTGCCCCCCCCCCCCCCCAGCCACATTGCGCCCGATCGGGTATAGTTCAGTATCTGTACTTGCGGGTGTTCTTGCCAATCAAGCGCTTTAGAGTGGGAAGTATTTTGTAAAAGAAACGGAAAGAAAAATATGTATTTCTTCAAAGATTTCAGTTTAGCCCAACCCACAGAAGGCGGCCAATACAGTGGCAGCTTGATGTAGATAAAGCTTGCTGCATTAGTACAACATTCAAGGTAACATATCTAATAACCGATTACATGCGCAGGATGTTAATTACATACAGTGTAGAAATTTCTCTAATCCTTATTATGAAGAAAAAAAAGAAAAATCTCCTTATTATAAAGCTTTCTACTTGTAGTTACTTCTCTTAGTATTTGCGAAATAACGACAACACTCGTAAAATCTGGTATACCAGTCCAAAACTCCAAGTTTCACCATGTTCTCAAGGCATAAAATAAAGCATAGTTTAGAGAAGTGGGAACACATTCTAGAAATGAACATAGCCTTCATCATGAAACATGGACTAGGTGCTATCGCAATATATGGGGCATTATTGGTGGCATAAACTCCAAACCGCGTAAAGAATCTCATTTTTGTTGGAAATGATGAGCCTTACGTGGTTAAGGAGAGACTCCGGGATTGAGCGACTTTTCATTCTTCCCGGGAATACTGCCTTTTTCTGGGCTTAGTTCTGGTGTATCCCCGTATCTTGTGAAAGGACCAATCTCGTCTTCTCTTCCTATTTGATCCAATCATTACGTTTGCATTGACGAGTAAAATCAGGCTACGGGTTACGCTTGTCGTATGAAATCACACAACGCTGTTGTTAGCGTTGGACCAAATCATGAGATGAGCCGTTTAGACAGAGCGAGCACCCGAAGTAAGCGTGAATTACGATGTTCCTGCCGTAGTCACGTACAATGCGCGTCGCATCGACGCGATTTCCGCAATGACAATCCTATAGGTTATGCTCACAATGAGGCTACCCCGCTGGGCAGCAATCCAAAAATAGATGAGCGTCGCAGCGTTCGCCTCGCCGCTAGGGGAGGTTATCCCCGGGTGCCGCGCTAGACTAGGCGCGAGGCCACTCTGGCGTGCGTGCCATCCTCCACCTCCTACATGAACGGCGCTCAGTATAGTTGGCGGGTTGGCTCGACATATTCTCTCTCCGTTGAGAGAGCGCAGAGAAAACGAATAGTGGGAGGCGAGCACACACTTCAGCGCGTCAATGCGTCGCGCATTGTACGTGACTACAGCAGAACATTATAATTCACGCTTACTTCGGGTGCTCGCTCTGTCCTAAACGGCTTAAGTCCCGAATCATGACGCTATCATGTTCATGGAGGAGATAGGGTACGTCGGGGGCATTTCGATGAATTCCGATGCAGTAGTATGGCCGGACTTCGAAGTTATAAAATGCTTTATGACTTAAATCATTTCTTCTTGTTAATATTGCATGGAAGACTGCTGCTTAACCTAAACCCCGAAACAATGGAGGACGGGTTTTTTGACAAGCTGTCCACTCTTTGAACTACTTCGTTGCGGGACTATGTTGCATTCTCCAACATCTTTTGGTGCTGTGCTTCTTCTTCGGGCTGCAGGTTTGAGGAGATCGACGGACTACTTGAACTCGGTCCTTCATAAGTCGTTTCTATCCGATGCTCTCGTCTGCGCTCTCTCGCCTTATCAGCGGCTCATGACCACTGTGATCTCACACATTCAAACTTTTGCCACACTGTAATTGGCTCACCCACCTCGGAGTCCCTCCCCTCCAAGGCTTAGTCCTAGGCTCTCACCTCCTTCCTTGGGATTTGGAGCCGAGCCAGGCGCCGTTCTCTAATTGTCTGTGCTCTCCGCCATTCGTGGCAGGACCATAGAGGAAAGTTCAAGTAGTCCGTAAACCGTTCGAGGATAGAGGTACGGAGGGAATGTTTCTGACCGGTCAGTCTTAACAGTGAGTCAGTCCGACCAATCCACTTGTGATCATTCGGGTATCAACAACAATATGAATCCGTTTGTCTACGTCGGCGACCATACTCGGAATAAGGATACTTGTACTGCAAGGGTTGCTTTCGGTTTCCCGAGAATGTGACTGAGGAGCCAATGTTACGCCCCCCGGAGCCATATTGCGCCCTATTATCTTTCGCCTTTTTCTTTCGTTTCGTTAGATTCACTCCTCACTGCACTTAAAGCTAAACCATCTTCCAACAATGCCGAAGGAAGTCATGCTAAAGGGAGGAGCGTGGTCCCGCAACGAAGTAGGTGTTAAAAGTGGGCAGCCTGCAAAACTCCTCCTCCATTTTTTCTAGGTGTAGGTTTAGCGACAGTGCATGGAAGTGTGAAAGAAGCAATTGTTAGCAGGGAGGATGAGGATTTTTGAAGTGGCACAGAGCATGGGGAGGCTGAACAGTGTTCTCATCATCCTGTCTTAAAAAGTGTGTGGTAGCGAAACGAGATGCATGTGCAACTCATGCAGCATGGCGTTTCCTCCCTTCCTAAAATTGGAGGCACTCCCACCAAATGTCTCTCTCTCTCCCTTCTCTTCTATAGGCCATCCACAAGTCACAAAACTTCTGTCCCTTCCAAATTATTCATTTTCAGGCTCACGAATGTTTATAATAAAATAAAATTTTTGTCAGATTTTGTGTTAGATATGCACCTCCACTGTCCAGGTATGCGAGAGCTAAAGAAGTAGGTTTCAAAATGTATTCAATTAATGAACTGGATGCTCAGAGACCAACCAAAAGCGCAGGTGTTCGTACGGAGTATGCACCGTTGAAGTCCAGTGGGAGCGTCGATGACCATGGATATCGCCTTTCGTCCGAGCCGCGTCGCAGTTTAGCAGCAGAGCGCGGTACCGTGCAGCAAGCGAATATCATTGTGATGAGATTCACCTTTTTGTCATCCATTTAACAAAAAGCCGTTTTTTTACCAAACAATGTAATGAGATCAGGCTGGCAATATTTTCTGTGCTCCTTCGTGAAGAGCATGGCAAAAATAAAATACAAAATGTAACAGAAATAATATGCTTTAATTCAAGTATTCGAACTGCGGGGACTTAAAGCTAGAGTGGTCAGATGAATCAAATTGGAGGTATCTCACAGTTACCTGGGAACTTCCTTTGATTAAAAAGTATTTGGGAATGGCCCTTTTAGCACAGAAATGTAAAGTTTAAAGAGTGGAGGATAATAAAAGAGGCCGAGGAGATAAAAGTTAGAGAAGTCCCGCCAGTCCGTTATTTCCATTTGATTATATTAATAAATCAGGAATAATGGAAATGACCATTCAATGCCTAATCGCAGAGGCAATTAACCAAACGATGTGCCAGCCTGGTAATAAAGTCGGTCTTTTCTCCTACTGTATGAGCCCGATAATAGCATTGACTCCGGACAGCCGAATGCTTGATTATTCTGGTCTAGAT